GGATGCTCCTCCCCAAGGACCCTCTTGAACGTCTCCATCACTTGCACCTCCAGCTCCTCAGCCTCCTTCCACCGCCCTTGGTTCCTATATGTTGACGCCAGGTTGCCCATGCTGCGCAGCGTGTCTGAATGCTCATCCCCAAGCACCCTTTTTCTCATTTCCGTCACTTGCACCTCTAGCTCTTCAGCCTTCTTCCACCGCCCTTGGTTCCTGCTCGTCGACGCCAGGTTGCCCATGCTGCTTAGCGTGGAAGGATGCTCACTCCCTAGAATAGCTCTTCTAAACTCAAACGTCTGTCGGTGCAGTTTCTCAGCCTTAGGATAGAGCCCTTGAAGGACTAAAACTTCCCCAAGCAGTTCCAGGGCATCAAGCGTGTCAACCTCGTCGTTACCGCCCACTGTTCGGCGACCTTCCACCAATCTGCGAATCACTTCTTCAGCTGACTTGTATCTTCCTTGATCCATGAGCACGTTCCCTAGCTTAGATAGTATGCCCAGGGTCTCGGAGTGGTTAAGCCCGAATAAAGTCTCTGCCCTAGACAGTTCTTCTCGCAGATGCTCTTCGTCCGTCTGTTTGTACCGAGCATGCAGAAAACCAGCCGCAGTATCTAATTGACCTTTATAGCCGCCTGGAATAAGGACTGAGCCTAGAAGGAAGCTTGGAAGAGATCGATAGGTAGGAGCCGGACTTTGCCCAGTGAAAGTGCTGCTCTGCGGCCGAATTATGCTAGCGATTGAAGGTGCAGGAGAGGACTTCTGTGGGTTCGGGGTGATGGAGATACTGTCTCCTGATGAAAGGACAGGAGTCGCTGCTGAAAATGCGGGACTCCGGGCCGGAGAACCGCGCTCGGAAATAGTTCGACAGTTCACAGGGGACGGGGTGGCTTCGGCATGTTAGTATCGTATGTAGATGGTATCTTTTACAAAGTAACTTACATGCCGGGGGATCAGGGGTGTACAAGAAGCTTTCAGGGACGTTATTCCGCTTCATCCATCGGTCGATCTTCTGCGTCTCCACTGCATTGCCCCTAACGGTAAAGACCAGCTCCTCTTTGTTGACCTCCACGAGTCTCCTTCGCTGCCGTTTCCGGACAATTGCTTCCATCTCCTCTGGCTTGATGTTTTTGTCCTTACCCCATTGGGTTATGCGTGTTCGATATTGACGTAGCCTGAACCATAATTGTATCAGCACATGAGCGCATCTTGCTCTGAAAACAGTGACCTACTCAGCACTGAAGCCAAACTCGTTCTCTATCTTCTTCTTAACTTCTTTCAGGGATAGTCCTTGTGTAACATGGAGCTCGATGATGCGACCTTTGTACGGCTCCCAGTCCTCGGCGCGCAGTGTTGGAGCCTTCCTCTTTCGTGACCGGCTTGGCGGACCCAGGAAACTTGCAGGTATATTCTGTATATTGCTTTCCGAAGCTATTGGAGCTAGATCCACGGAACATGGCGCATGGCTTCCGCCAGTTGTAATCTGCCCTTCTATGGGCCCATCGAGCCACGCGTAGCTGCTGCGGAGCTCGTAAGTTTGCAACGAGGCGCTGTGACTCGCTAGAGGATATGAAAAATCGGCATCGCGGAAAGCAGGCAAGATGAGACTCGAGCGGTGCGTGTTGTTTCTCTCCTAAGCTGTCTGTTAGCAAAATAAACATGTTCTTCGTTGGGAAGCCTTGGCTCTACGTCAAAGCGACGCTGGTGTGGTAGAGAATGGCTAAGTGAAATCATATATACCGTTAGTGATGACATTCCCATACACCTCTAATGGTATGTGCAATATGTAACTTAGATTCTAGTTAACTCACTCTCCCTAGGTTGTTTTATCTTACCACTAAGAATCTTCTCATTATAGGCTCCACTGCCAAATATGTGGCCTTATCGAAAGGCGGCCCAATCTTTTAAATCTTAAGCGTGTTGAGAGGGGACCAAAGGTTCTGACGGCACAAATGATTGCGCAAATGGAGCTTGGATCCTGATGATGGTGTTTTTCAGCCTTGAACCAAGAGACTCACCGAAAGCGGAGCTGAGTTTTACCGATTGGTCCGGACAAAAGTACTAATCCTTGGCAGCGCTACGCCCCATTTCATGCAAAAGTACTATTTCTTAGCGAATGCATCAGTTGGTGGAAGAGCAAAAGTACTATTGCTTAGCGGACATTGAGTTGGTTGAAGAGCAAAAGTACAATTCTAATTGACGCCACGGCTACAAAGACCCTCGCCCGCCCACCCAGAAGGTCCAAATATTTTGCGCCCTTTCGCAGCCTCTCTCATGCTGTATCCTCACAACTCCGTTTCATCAACACTCAACCTTCATCTCAGTCAGCAATGACTCTGAACTGTTACCACAGCTCAACCCCTTTTATGCTTTTGTTATCTTTATTCTCTGCCCCATTCCTCAGTTACATTTTGAGCCTCTGACAAGGGATCCACGGCCAACTCATACGGTACCAGAATGGCGTCATTCACATGCAGCGGTAAAACGTTTCTCGTGCGGCGTCTCCCTAAACAGACGTAGTAACGTTAGCTTCTTCGTTAGTATTTCTTCCAGCCACGTCACAATTTAATTTAATGGCAAATAAACTAGCCCAACAGGAAAACGGATACTCCAACAGCAAGCAATGATCAACCGAGACACCGCTGAGCGCCTTACCACACAGATATATTTTGTTTCCAGAAGAATATTACAACCCAAACCATTAGGGATAGATGCGTTCTCGTTTGGCCGCCTAAGGAAATTCGCGCTTACCAGTCGTTACTCTACGAATCTTGCGGATGCAACCATTACATATTCGTCTGGTGGTCCTATATCTGTACTCGAGAGGCATATATCCGAGCAGCGTAACAAGGACACCTACAATGCCCACAATAGTTCCGTTGGATATATCGGATTTCTCTGGGAATATTTCATGGATGGTATCTGGGACAACTCGTCTCAGCGGCTATGACTATGTTGGGACTATCTCTGTCAACGTTGGCTTACCATTGCCAGGCTGAGTCATCGTTCCTATCGAAGCCGGTCTCTCCAATATCAAAGACTGGCAACAATATGCTAGGCCCCTACTCTCGGTCGTGTAACTGTGGGCCTCGGCTCTTTCTTCTAGCGCCCGCCCACCGAGTCGTCACTCTACAATAAGGCGGATTATAAACTTATTGACGCGGCAGTGGAAGTTGTGAACTTGATCCGGGTATAAGGTACACTCCCTCTGGATGGGATGCAGTCGATTGGGAACTACGTCAGGCCTCCCCCGGTTGTATACGGGAAGCTCGTTCAACGCGCGGTAGAGTTCGAAACGTCGGGATATTCTTGATCGCTGCAACTTTGGACTTGTCAGAGCCAGCTCGGATCTAATGCTTTTCTGCGTCTGATGCGTTGTCCACGGAGGTCTATAGGTGTATTGAGCCCGAATCTGAGAGGACTGTCACGTACTTGTAATTGGAGCGCCGACGTACGCCGTCTTATTGGAGGGTATGCCAAAGTAAGAATAATTGTAGATAGTCAGGTGCGAATGGCTTCGTTGATGAACTCCCATATCCAACGCTACTCGACTCTTTTTGTCGTGTGCAAAATTCTCTGGATTCTTGGCAATGCCAAGTAACAACTTTCCCCTCACAAATCTGATAGAAATGCACGTCACTGTACACAGCACTTGATTTCGCGAGCGTTCGCTCGCGAAATCTATAATCAATTCCCTCTGTCGTCGTTCCAGCAAAGGAAATGCCTCAGCTTAAAAAAAAATTACCGCATTTAGACGTCACCTGACATAAAAATTCACATAAACTTCGGCATAATGTAGCGCTAAACTAGACTGGGAAGGAGTTAGGCTAGCCTAGGGACACGCTAAGCCTGATAGAGTTTCTGCTGACTAATATGCCTGGAAGAACCTGTTCTCACCAGCTTGCAGCGACATTTCACTACCACGCTACATTATTTTAACCTGCTGCTGCTTGATAGTTGCTTAGAATATCATGCAATACCATATAGTTCAGTAGAGCCTTGCAGCGACATCTAGGCGTTGAGCTGCAGGTGTTGCGGAGGGTGCTGCAAGATGCTGCCATCAGCTTGCAGCGATAGTTTACTACTGCGCTATATTATTTTAGCGTGCCTCGGCTTGATAATTGCTTAGAATAGCATAGTTTAGTGCAGCCTTGCAGCGACATCTAGGTGTCGAGCTGCAGGTTTGGAGAGGGTGCTACAAGCAGTGCTAGCTGGAATCGGTCCAAATCGATTATCCGGAATCACGTGGCGCTATCCTAGATCTAGATCAGATCCATGAATTAATTCAGCGCTAAGGCTAAATAAGCAACTGTTCTAAATAATTAGTCTTTTACTTAATGTTTTATGCTATTATACTTTTATGTCACGGTATCCTCCCCGGATCCTAGACATAACTGTATTAGACGCGTACTAGAGTATTATTAGTGCACGTCTAACACAAACACAACATAACACAGACATAAACTTAAGCATAAACTGCTTTAACACTAACTAAACCTAAAATAGGCTTAATTTATACTTAAAGCGCTTAGACTTTTAAGCTAAGTATTTAATTACTAATTTTCTTTTAAACCTTTTTATTCCTTACACAACGTCTTATACTTACTATAATACTTTATATAGTAATTAAACTAGACCTCTGTAAAGCTCTATAACTTTACTTATACATAATTATAACATTATGTTATGTTAAAACTTTAGCTAAGAATAGCCTTTAAATTTAATCTAATAAGCTTAGTACTTATATAACTTTAAGCTATTAAAGTAAGCTAAAAAGCCTTCTAAAAAGCGCTTACTTTATAAAAAAGCTACTATATTATAAGCTTTAAAGCTTTTTAAAAAGACTTTAAAAAACAGCTTTACATTATTAAGTAGTCTATTTCTGCCTTAACTTTTATTATAGTAGTAGGAACTAAGAACTTACTAGCCTTAAAGCTTACTTAAAAGTCTAGAAATAGCTTAACTTTTTTCTACTTAACACTGCTTATAACTTATAACCTTTTTAACTTAGTAATAAAATCTAACTAACTCTCTAATCCCCTACTGTTTAATAAAAAATAAAAAAACCTACTTTTCTTTTTACACAAGCTCTAATATAAACTTAAAAGAAATATAGACTAATTTCTTTTTAAATGCTTTTAGTTACTATATGCCTACTTTTAACTTAACTATAATATAACAGCTTTAATTAACTTACTAATAAATAAAAATATTATTAACTTAAATTAATTTATAGTGTTTTTATAAGTAACTTATAAAGACTTAAATAAAAAGTTAACAGCTCTAAGTTGCTTAAACACCTTATAATAAAAAAAAAAAGCTTTACTTTACACTTTACTAAGTTCTGCTAACTTACATTTAATATAAGCTTAAATAAGATAAGTCTAATTACAGCCTTACATAACTCCCTCTTAACTAAACTGTAACGTGCTATAGTAGAAGAACCCCTTTTAAACAACCTTAATGTGTATGTAAACTTAATTACTACCTATAATAATAACATAAGGTTCCTCTTTATACAAGCTTTAATACGCCCCTAAACTAGCGCAGTTGCAAATAAAAACTTTAATATAATAAAAATTAATTTAAATTATGCTTTAGTTAGTTCTAAAAAGTGTAAAAATTATAAAAAAAAAAGTTAATACTTTAAGTGTAGTAAGTATAGTTATATATTTTAAAACTACTTTATTTTTTTTTTAAGTCTGTGTAAGTAGTGCTGCTAGCACTTATTAAAAATTTTTACTATCTTAATTTTATTTTTATAAAGGCTTTAACTTATATTTAAGCTTTAATCTTTCTTACTACTCTTAATGTAGCTGCAGCTATAGTAGTAAGAGCCTATAAAAAGGCTTGTTTTAGGGCTAAGTTGCCTTTTAAGACTAATTTAACACTAGATCTTTACTAACTTATAGGCTAAGTCCCCTACTAATAACTAAAAGTACTAAGTTAATATTTCTATATATTTATAATAAAGAACTATATTAGCTCTAATATAAGCTTTTATTAACTTAGAAGTAAATAGCATAAGTTATATTAATAAAAAACTAGCGTGTAAACTAAATTTTTAATTAACACTACTTACTTAAATAATTTACTTAACTAGATTTAATAGAAAATAACTTAAAAAAAGTTCTATCTTTTATACTATAACTATTATAATTACTTACTAACACTATAAGAAGTAGATTAAGCTCTATGTAATAAACATAGAATATTATAACTTAATTCTAGAATAACTATAGCTGTATTAGCATAAGGTTACCTTTAATTACTAAAAGTAAGTTTTAAACTTTAACTTTTTTTAATACTAAAATATATGCTTATACTTACACCTAAATAACACCTAAGTAGCACTTAATATAAAAGGTCTCTAGACCTACTTTTTAATAACTTAAAAAAAAACTACCTAAGTAAAGCTAATAAGCTAGGCCTTTTACTAAAATAAGCTATGTAAAATAATTTAATAACTACTTAAACTTAAGAAAGAAAAAGCTTTTAAAGAATCTTTACTTACTTAATTTAAACATAAACTAGGACTTAAACAGCAGATAGACATCTGCTATATAAAACCTGCTCTATTTATAACTTTAGCTTAATAACTAGATTATAAAATTTACATAGTTATAATTTCTAATATAGACTAAGCTTTAGCTCCCTAAAAACACACTAACTTAAGAATAATAGTCTCTTAAGACTACTATAACTTATTATATATTTTCTTTTAAGATAAGTCTAATAAGCTTTTAATATAATATTTATATAATTACTAAATAACTTTTAAGCCTAGTAAATAACCTAGTTATAGGCTACTATATAAAATGTTGCTAAATAAATTAAAAGTGCTTTAAAAATACCTTAATAAGAACCTAAAAAAAAGTTTATTTAAGCTAGCTTTTTACTAGTAGTGTTACTTATACTATTTATAAAGAAACTTAAGAGTAGGCTTTAATTCTATGTTAACTACTAAGGACTAAACACTATTACTATTAAAAACTAATACTTAATTCTTTTTTTATAAAAAACTCTAAGCTAACTAAGTAAAGTAAAGTATTTTATAAAGTTAGATATTATTACTGCTTTTAATAAGCTAAAAATAGTAAAGGGTAATAAGTAGCTAATAGTGTTTTAGACTTAATATAAACTATTTAAGTACCTAGTAATGCCCTTTAGCTTAGCTAACACACTTAGTACTTTTTAACATTTTGTAAACAACTTACTCTAACCCTACCTAGACATGTTCTGCACTATGTATATTAATAATATTTTAATTTACAGTAATAGCCTTTTAAAGCACAAACAGCACGTACGCCTAGTGCTAAAAGCTATAAAAGAAGTAAGTCTATAACTTAACATAGATAAATGCAAGTTCTACTAATTAAAAGTTACATATTTAGGATATATAATCTCTATAAATAGTATTTAAATAGACCTTATTAAGGTTTAGACTATGCTAGATTAGTAATACTTAAAAAATATAAAAAATGTTTAAGCTTTTATAAGATTTACTAACTTTTACTAATAATTTATTAATAACTTTTTATAGTAAGTAAGCTTTATAATTACACTTACTAAAAAAAAAATTTAATTTAACTTTAACTTAAATTACTAACAGTTCTTTAACTAGCTAAAAAAAGCCTTTACTAAAGCTTTAATACTCTACTACTTTAACTTTAAACTACTAATACTTGTAGAAGCTAATGCCTTAGACTACATAGTAGTAGGAGTTCTTTTCTAGACTAAGCTAGACAGGACTATTAAGCTTATTACATACTTTTTAAAAAAAAATAAGTTTTATAAAAAGTAATTATAAGATCTATAATAAAAAATTACTTACTATAGTACACTGCTTTAAATAATAGCAACCTAAACTAGAAGGTGTAGCGCATCTAATATAAGTTTTATCTAACTATAAAAACTTATAGTACTTTATAACTATAAAATAACTTAGCT